GCGCCGCGCCGCCCCCGCGCCCCCCGCCCACCCCCCCCCGCCCGCACCCGCCGCTCCGCAGGGAGGGGCCCGCAGAGCCCGCACCGACTCCCGGGACCTCAGGCCGCCATGACACCGGAAGCGGCCGGGCGCCTAGGCCCAGCAGCCGGTACTTAGGGAGAGCCAATCCTAGAAGGAGGCGGGACCAGGAGGGGCGGGGCTGGAAAAAAAACACTCCCGAGGGTGGAAAAAAAACACTAATTTGTTTCGCAAAAACCATGACTGTGAGATGTGGTCCCGTGAGTGTGGCACCGTAGTAGAGTGCTTGCCTAGCATGCGCAAGGAAGGCCCCGGGTCCAGTACCCACCAACACACGCGCCAATTATTTATCTTTACTTCTTATTTTTAAAGATTTATTATAGTTGTATTTTTACGTTTGTGTTTATGTCACATGTGTGTGAGAAGTCAGTAGGAGATGTCGTATCCTTGCTGGAGTTACAGGTGGTTGTGAGCTGCATGTTTTGCGTGATGGGAGCTGAACCCTGCCCTGGAGAAGAACAGTTCACACTCTTTGCCATTGAACGATCTCTATTTTTTTTTTTTTTTTTCATGTTTGAGACAGGGTTTCACTGTGTGGCTCCCGCTGTCTTAGTCTTATATCTCACTCTGTAGACCAGGCTGGCCTAGAACTCACAGAGATCTGCCTGCCTCTGCCTCCCAAGTGTTAGGAATAAAGGCGTGTAAGCACCACACCCGGCTTGCTATCCTTATTTATTTATTTTAACAGAAGTAAGCTTTTATTTCCACTTTTCTCAAATTAAACTGGCTGAGTTGGTTGCTCTGAGGGATCAGTCAAAGAGACCAAATCCCATATTCTCGTCGGATGCCTCCGACTCTTCCTTGGCATCAGCCTTGGCTGGGGCTAGGGCGGCAGCAGGAGCAGCAGTGGTGGCTGCAGCCACGGGGGCAGCAGCCGCAAATGCAGACGGATCAGCCAAGAAGGCCTTGACCTTTTCAGCAAGTGGGGAAGGTGTACTTGGTCTCCACAGACAAAGCCAGAGCCCGCTTGTACCCATTGATGATAGAGTGTGGTAACCAATCTGCAGACAAACATTGGCAACATTTTGGACACCCTCTAGGAAGCCAGAGTGTGGCACCAGCACCGGCAGCAGCCAGCACTTTATTGGCCAGCAGTATGTCCCTAAACTCAGTGAGGTCCTCTTTGGTGGACACAAAGTCACATCCCCCTGATGTGGGGCAGCAGCTTCTGCAGAGACAGGTTGTCCTCCAGGTGCCCCCAATGGCCTGCGCATCGTGGTGTTCTTGCCCATCAGCACCACAGCCTTTCCTCACAGGGACATGTGGATCTGCTTCGAGCCCACATTGTCTGCTCCCACAACGAAGCATTTTGGGTAATCATCCAAAAGTTGGATGAACTTAAGGAAGTAGTTGGACTTCTAGGTCGCCCTGTCTTCCCTGGGCATCACGGTGGTGCGTCAGGGATTACCACACAGGGTTTAAAGACGATGTCACTTTAATGAGGATGCCTGGCGAGAGAGCACTTATTTTTTAATTGCCTATTATTGCAAGCCCAATGAGATCTTACCTGCTTGCTTATCTGCCTGGTATCCAACATCACTGTCTCCCTTTCTAATATAATCCTGATTTCGTTTAGGACAGTCATGTGCACAAAAGAAATATGTGCCCTTGGGGCTGGAGAGATGGCTCAGTGGTTAAGAGCACCATCTGCAAGTTTGATTCCGAGACCCCACATGGTGGTTCACAATCATGTATAACTCCATAGCTGTTCTAGGGGATCTGACACCCTCTTCTGGACTGCATGGGAACCAGACATGTACGTGATACACAGACCAGGCTAGCCTCGAGCTCAGAGATCCACCTGCCTCTGCCCCCCAAATGCTGGCATTAAATGTGTAGTTCTAACACTGCCTGGCTGAGAGTAATAATATTTTTAATGATTGTCAATGGGAAATCAAATACCTAGTAAGTCCTTATCATGGTATTTACGACAACGTATGTTCTCCATAAACACTAGCTGCTATTATTTTTTTAAAAAGGAAAAAGATATACATCCTCCCTCAAAGCTGGCTTTGACCTCACCTACAGGTCTGGTTAATGAGACCTTCCCGCATAACTGCCAAGGATTTGTTGGAAAGTTTTGCTTGACTCACGTGGACATTGTGGCTTTTTTTCTCTGCCACTTCCTTTCTCCTGCTCAAAAAAAAAAAAAAAAAAAAAAGCATAAAGCTAAAGACAGGTTAGTCATCTTGTGTCCATGCAGCAACTGAAAGAATGAAAGTCAGATACTAACACATTAATTGTATATAGACATATTGCAACAAAGAAAGCCAAAGTGCAGGGTCTTAAATATGGAAACATTTCTCATTTCTTTCTCTAAAGAAGGGATCTGCCATTCTCCATAGGGCTTCTGTCTTTGGGACCTATGTGTTTATTTTGCTTTTCACCATTTCGTGGTTTTGAGAATGGTGAAAGAGACCAGAGAAGCACAAACATGATTCTGATGAGTGTAAGCCCTAGAGTGGTACTCATTAGTCCTATTCTTTTTGTTTGTTTGTCGAGACTGGATTTCTCTGTAGCTTTGTAGCCTGCCCCAGAACTCCATCTATCCACCAGGTTGACATCAGACTCAGAGATCTGCCTGTCTCTACCTCCTGAGTGCTGGGATTAAAGGCATGTGCCACTGCCGCCTGGCCCTCATTATTTCTATTCTTATCCCATTAGCTGGTGCTTAGCTAGCCAGATGATGTCAGCTAGCCAGCAGACAGGGTGGGAAACAAAAGCATAATTCAATTACTAATGGAAGAAGAGAAGAGTGGATGTTTAGGGACAAAAGCAAGTCTACCTTACTCATGCCCCAGCAGAAACACAGAAGGCTTCTGGGTTCTTGACAGCTTTGTTAGAAATCCATTCTGCTTCCCATAGCCATCCTCTAGACATCTGGCTATGTGTGTGTGTGTGGGGGGGTACTATTTGATTAAAGCCTGTTATTGTTTTAAGAATATGACAGGTAAAATGCAGGTAAATATGCATAGTATAGCATTTACCACATTAATCATTTTTAAATGCACAGGTGAGTAATCGTAAGTACATTCACATTGTACAAACATTACCAACAACCATCTACAAAACTTGTTTCAACTTGCAGAACTTAAAATCTCTTCCCATTAAGCAAGCCTCCAATCCCTCTTTTCTCCTGCCCCTGATATGCCACTGTTCTATTTTGATTCTCATCCATAGGCCTCCTTTCAGTCTGCCGATTTGGTTCACACAAATCACCATTCAGCATACCACTCAGACTAACATGGGTAACCTCTTGATGACTGAATACAAATACCAGCCCACAACTCAAGAATCACTAACTGCCCAGGTGTGATGGCACACACCTTTAATCCCAGAATTTGGGAGGCAAAGGCTGGTGGATCTCTGTGAGTTTGAGGCCCCCCACCTAGTCTACAAAGCAAGTTCCAGGACAGCCAGAGTAGTTACACAGAAACCCTGTCTCAAACAAACAAACAAAATCACTAACTCAGGGTTCAAGTCCCTGTTCCAGCTCAATAAATAAATAGATAAACAAAAATCACTAAGTGACCAAATGGCATGAGAGAAGAGGGAGAGGAACTTGATCTTGATCTCCACCAGGCTCCAATTTCAGCAGGAAGTAGCCTGAACTGAAGCTGACACCTGTAAATCCTGGGGCCCCATCTCTCAATACTACCTCTTCCAGAGTCTTTCTTTTATATATGCAAAATGTAGGAATGTAAGAGTACCGAAGCTACCTGAGTAGAGGGATCATCCATGCCTTATAGTCTATCTAGTATCCCCCCCACACACCAAGCTGCTAAATTCTTAGCATGTAGCAAACCCAAGATGTGCTGGGAAAATAGAACTTCCTAAATTATGGATTTGCATTCTTTACTAATGTGTTAAACTCAGATATGCCCTCCCTCTAAGCTCAGAGACTCCTTATAAAGTCTATAAACGTAAGATAATTAATTCCTTTGTACTGTGTGTTGCTGTTAGATTTCCTAAACCACCTTCCACAACTGTGAATACATGGCATTATTAAAAGATATTCTACCTCAAAGAAAAAGCAAATGAAGAAACCCTAACTGTGCCTGGTGGCACAGGCCTGTAGTCTAGCTACTTGGGGGGCTGAGGCAGTAGAATCTCAAATTCAAGATATGCCTGGACTATTAGAGTAGGCTCAAGGCCAGACTGTATAATTTATCAAGACCCCATTTTGTAATATATTTTTTAGAAACTTAAAAGTACTTGAGATATACCATAACTCTGGTTGTAGAATATTTGTAGAATATGAGGGTGCTCTAGATTAAATCTTCAGTATCCCCCAAATCATACATATAAAACTGTAAGTAGTTTTGAAATAAAAATAAATGTATAGTAATTTGTCTCACTTAACAGTGTCTATTTCAGAATCAGCAGTTTTTATGGTTTCGTTTACTCAATGAAGTCATTTGACATTTCCTACTTTAAAATTTTGTCACTAGGCTTAAGCCAGAAATATGGCTCAGCTGCTTAAGAGATGGCTGTTCATGGGGGTTTTGAGTTCAATTCCCAGCAACCGCATGGTCTCCCAACTATTCTGTAATGGGATCCGATGCCCTCTTTTGGCATGTAGGCATACATGCAGACAGATCACTAATATACAGAAAATACATAAATAAGTAAACATTTTTTAAAATATCGATGGAGCTAGGGCTATGGATCATTGGATAACAGCTTTTGCTGCACCAATATGAGGACCTGAGTTCAAATCTAGAGTAAAAAACAGGCATGGGAGGCACACCTGAAACCTCAGTGCTAGGGACCCTAGGAGACAGGAGGACAGCTAAGACTTACTAGATGTCAACCTGACCCTCCTTTGCCTTCTGCACAATCACCACACACTACAGACAGACTATATAATTTTGCT